TCTCTCTCTCCTGTTCTTTGCGCACCACCCCCCATTCTCCTCAGGATACGTTTTTTTAGGGATGTTATCAAAGTTTTCTACCCCCTCCCTCCCCAAAGCCCCCATCAACTCACAAAGTTCGATACAAAGCCCCTTCTTACTCCTCTCTCGAGCATTGTGGGTAGTTGGGGGGTGCTCTGGTTTGGTTTGCTCATTCCTTCCTCATCAAACATCTTATTCTGTTATGGCTCCTCCTTCTTATTCGTGTTTGTTGCTCTAGTGTAACATCTCTAAATCTTCGGCGTCTATGTAACCCAGTTATGTTGCAAAAGCCGTAAAACATGTAGATCTACGTAACCCTATCCGTACGCCCTGGGGCCATTTTGTACCCCTGGGGCCATTTTGTACCCCTGGGGCCATTTTGTACCCCTGGGGTTGTATTCTTCACATTTTAGAGTACTTCTAGTTCGAAGATCTCTTTGAAACGTTCAGTTTTTCTCAAATAATCATTTTGACAGGCTGCTATGCAAAGCGTACGGATTGGATTAACGAGTAAATTTCCTCTTTGGAAAGTGGTAGCTCAGAGTTCCCCACGTCGTATGGATACGATAGTAAAACACGACGTACGGATAGGGTTAAACAAACAAACCGCGGGCGTTGTGAAAATTGTGGAAAACGGCTTTTAACAATTTATCAAATGACCCCATTTTTTGTTGCTGCTCATCCCAGGTGCTGGTCCGTCTGCAGCCGGGAGAGAACGTGGTGACCTTACGCCATGACCAGGAGTCCTTGACCCTGAGGTTGACCTATGCACTCCCTGGATTCTCTCACATCGTGAGGCCTGTGTATGTTGTCTGTGCTGACGATGACGGATACTTTCAGGTGAGTGGCGTGACCTTGAGGGTCAAAGGTCGTGTCGAAATCATGTTGTTACGTGTGAGCGTCATGACTTTGGGCGTCAAAAGTCGTGCCTTGATCGTGTTATTAGATAAGAGAAGATCAGTTTACTTTACTTTCCCTCTTTACTTTCTCTCTCTCTAACTTGCGTTCTCCCAGATCGTTCTTCTGGAGATGTACTTCTCTTCACTCAAACCCAAACTCAAATGATTGTTATTATTTAGATGTGCTTCACTCTACTTAAACTCAAACTCTATCTTCTCTTTACTTGAACTGTCATGTCTCTATGCTTCAGTTATTCGAAAAATCATGCCGGTATGATTCTTATTCTACAATAGTGTCGGTTTGATTCTCTTTATACAATAGTGTCGGTTTGATTCTCTTTATACAATAGTGTCGGTTTGATTCTCTTTATACAATAGTGTCGGTTTGA